CTTAATGTGGTCCCTATATAGATACTCTAGGGCCCATGTCTATGCGATATGAGTACCTGGACCCTCAGGGTAAGGCCCCTACATTATTTGATTTTGAGCTTGGGCGATCGGGCTCCTTTGATGGATCCCTTCACCTCAGGAGCCCATCAGGGCACCTGAGCTTCACAAAGGTACTACTAGGGGTCTATGAGGTTTAGGGCTTAGGGCTTAGGGTTTAGGGTTTAAGGCTTAGGGTTTAGGGTTTAGGGGTGCTATTTGTGATCTATCATAGGGCTACCCTTTACGGGCACTATAGGGTTCCCTAATGGGTTCCTTCAAGGGTTCCTTCAAAGGCCCCATGAGGTTCCTTGAAGAATTCAGGAAGGGTTCGGAGTCGGGTGCACCCACTTGCGCTTACAGGATCTTCAGCAAAACAGGGTAGGATTCGATTTATGAGCTTCAGGGTTTTAGGGTGATGGGTTTAAGCCTCTTGCTGCTACCATACCATTAAATTTTGAGGGGCCGATTCCATGGCTTCCGATTGTGAAACCTTTTGTAAGTCCTCACAACGAAGCTCTTTCAGGTGACAGCTTTTTTCTCCCAACCCTAAACCCCTAAAACCTAAACCCGAAACCCTAAACCGTAAGTTTTGGGGCCTAAAGTTACTCTATAGGAACTCCATGAATGCTTACGTATGTGCTGTATGAGCACATGGACCCTGAGGATAGAGCCCCAAGGGTCCATGTGCCCAAATACTACATACATAGGCCTTAAAGAAGTCCCTATATAGGTACTTGGGCCAAAGTATATACTACTTGGGTGCATGGACCCTTACTTGGAGGGTCGGGTGACTTAGTAAATGGTTATTTTGTAGACTTAGAAGTTGCTCGGGCAAGTCCGTGGAGCTCTTCAAAGTGGCAGGCCAAGCGCAACGGCTACTTGTGGGTGGGGACGCACGGGGCCCTCGACCACGAGCTGGAGTCCGACGTGGTCCAGGCCCTTTGCAACCTGACTCGCGTCCCATCGGTGCTGCAAGCCCCCGGCGAGTTCTTGTCCGGGCGACTCACTGCCGCCATCATGGCCCTCCTGGACTGGCCGCTCTTCGACTCAGACTTCATGATGCGCCTCGACGCAGAGCCCACCTGGCGGCTCCTGACCTTTGCCTGCGGCACTACGCTGCAGTTGGCGTCGGGCGAGCTGGGCCAGGCGAGCGCCCACCAGTGTACTTATTTACCTACTTATATACTCAGTCTCCCGACCCTCCAAGTAGGGGAGGTTTAGGGTCGGTTAAGGGCTTGCTGGAAGAGTAACCTTAAGCCCCAAGCCGTAAGCTTCAAACCCTACACCTCGAGGCCATAATGCCACCCCATACAACCCTCACCTTACCCCAAGGGTCCAAAGGACCCGATAATCAGGTACTTAGGTTTCGGATAGTAGCTATGTAGGTTATTATTTGGGAGAGTATATGATTACAAACCCTAAAACCCTAAACCCTAAACCCTTGTTAGGTACTTGGACCATTAGGAGATTATTAGGTAATATTGGACCCTTATAGGGTTAAGGCTCAAGACATTCCGCGAGACTCGGCCTTGGGGTACCCTGGCCCTGGAATATGGGGGTCTCCGAAAATAGGGGTACCTTATTTTGGGGTCCTTATAATAAGGATCCTATTATTTAGGGTACTATATTAGGGTCCCCTATTTTCGGAAACTCCCATATAAGTCGTTGCGTTGCGGGGTCCAGAAGCCAAGCCCTTCGCACAACCCTAAACCCTAAACCAAGAACCCAATACTCCCCCCAATGAATCTACCGTAAATCATAATAGCAAGGCCCCAATAAATCAAAAGGTATATTCGTTAATTAACGGGTATTGGGTTTTCTGGGAAACATTGGGAAAAACTAAGCCCGAAACCACAAGCCTGTCAGGCGAAAGCCGCGGCCGATGCTAGCAGCAAAGAGGCCGCGTCCTGGCGGTTGCCGAGGGGCCGCTTTCGGATGTAACTTTAAGTTAGCGTTTAGGGGTTTAGGGTCTATAATCCTAAACCCCAAACCCTAAACGCTACACCATGAGTCAAAATATCCTCCTTAGGGGGTTCTAGGGCTAAGGATTGAAGACTGTTTTCGGATTTGGCTTCTTCAAGAACTACCCGTATTTCCTAAGTAGTACTAGGGAGGCCCATTAAAGGGGATACTTCTTAACCCTATTTATAGCTCTCTTCAGAGGGACCTCATTCAGAGAGTCTATATCCCTTTGGTCCCTATGGCTGCTTTTGGTTCCCTGGGATTCCCTATACGATATAATATACTTCCCTATAATACAGAAGCCTTAATAATTAGAATCGGGTTTGGGGTACTATTCTAATTTTCAAGGCCCCTACATTGCCCTGAAACCTATGCTGCTTATTGAGACCCTGTTCAGGGCTCGAAGCCTTAAGACAAGGCTTATAGGGTTGGATTTCCGCCTCATCATCCGAGAGCTTGACACGCTTTGCAGGTGTTTTGCGTCGTAGAGCCCTTAAGCCCCAAGCCCCTAAACCCCCAAACCCTTAAACCGTAAACCCTAAACCCCTCCAAGCCTAAACCCTACTAAACCCTAAACCCCTCCAACCCTAAACCCTACCAAACCCCTAAATCCTCTACGCCTAAACCCCTAAACCCCTAAAACCCTAAACCCTAAACCCCTCATGCCCCTAAACCCCTCTAACCCTAAACCCTACTAAACCCTACTAAACCCTAAGCGCCTCACCTGAAGCTCTACGGTGCCAAAGCCTGCAACAGGGTCCGAAAGGCCTCCTCCTCCCCGAAACTGCCAAGTCTTTTGAGCCTGGAGTGGTTTCGGGTCTAGGACTTTGTGTTTAGGTGTTTAAGGGTTTAGGGGTTTAGGTTTTAGTTTCTATATATATATATATAAACCCTAAACCCTAAACCCCTATCAACCCTATCAGCCCTAAACCCGGTAAACCCTAAACACACTAAGTTTTAGTCTCTGGGGTTTAGGGTAGCAGGCCCAAAGCTCGGAGACGAAAACCCCAAGGGTCCAAAGCACCCCAATAATCAGATACTTAGGTTTCGGATAGTTTAGGGTTTAGGGTTTAGGGTTTAGGGTTTCGGATAGTAGTTAGATCCTAAGCCCTAAACCCTAAACCCCTGAACCCTAAACCTCTGAACCCAAAACCCTGAGCCCTAAACCCTAAGCCGTTACTATTTGGGAGGGTATATGATTATTAGGTGACCCTAAACCCTAAACCCTTAGGGAAAGACACAAGGGGTGCGAATCCATGCCAGGCCGACACATGCTCCAGGGCGCGGTCCCGTCGATACTACTGGTGCCACAATAGGTTTAGGGTTTTGGGTTTGAAGTTTAGGGTTTAGGATTTTGGGTTGGAAGTTTAGGGTTTAGGGCTGTGGGTTTTGGGTTTGGAGTTCGGTGTTCAAAGTTTTGGATTTAGGGTTGAGTTTAGGGTTGTGGGTTTAGGGTTTGGGGTTTAGTGTTTAGAGGTTTGGGTTTACGGTTGGTATGGCAATGGGATCCATTCAGGGCTTGAGGGCGCAGGGTCGGTTTTGACCACGTGCTCCTGGCCTGGTTTATTTCCGGGCGATCGGCATGGCATAACATGGGAGCCTTCAGCATTAGTCAGAGGATTCCTCAAGCCTGAGCCAGACCCCTTTTGCATCACAATAGCAGCCTACAGGCATATGCACCCACAGATACAAGTAGTTACACAACCATTCAACAGAGTTTTGATCAAGTCTTGACCAAATTGCATACTATAGGGGCCTTAATAAATAGAATAGGGTTTGGGGTACGTTATACTAGAATTCTGACATGGAGCCCCCAAAACCCTATTCTAATGCTTAAGACCCCTACATTACCCTAAGGGTCCATGTGCTCATATAATATATACATTGGCCTTAATGTAGTCCCTATATAAGTACTTTAGGGCCCATGTATATGCTATATGAGTACATGGACCCTTAGGGTTACATAATTGAAAGTCGTGTCAACCCATAAACTCCATGCCAACCCTCTCGCACCCTCGGGACCCTTGGTCCTGAAGCTCTTACCCAAAGGGTCTGGGACGGTTTAAGGTTTAGGGTTTAGGGTTTAGGGTATAGGACTTAAGCAGTGGATACTGAGATGTGGCGCGATGCGCATGGGAAGACCCGTGATTCGGACAACCTGCATCGCATCGTCACACCCGAACCCTCAACCTTGAACCCTTTAAGCCCTAAGCCACCAGGGTCAAAAAGAAGAAGCCTAGAAACGTCAACACGCAGAGCCTCTCTAACTATTGAGGTGTTTGTCAACCAAAGCTCTGCAACAACGCCAGATCCCTTACAAGGCGATCAAGTCATATTTCTAATAATAATAATAAGAAGAAGAATATTTTCATAACAAGAATGTTAATAATAATAATAACTATACACCTGCTTTAGCGGCCCCTGCCCCTTGGGTTTCGTGACAGTAAGAACACAATCCTTTTTTGTTGTTTGTTGTTGGCCCCCGTGTTTTTTGTATTTCGTGATGGTATTGAAAATTTGATGTTGTCAGCAGTTGTTCATGTTTTTAGGGAAGGTGGCTGTGTTGATTACTGCGTCGGTCTCTACTGTCGGGCTGACGTGGGGTGTCGCAGGCTTTCTTGCATGGTATTTTCAACAAACCCTAACCCCCCAGTTGCCTACTAATTATATAGGGTACTAGAGCCCCTAAGGCCCTATAGAGTAGGTACCTGGAGGGTTAGGGAAAGCGTACGGACTTATTTGGCCGTGGCATCGGGTCTCAACAGACTGAGGCGAGGCTTGGTTTGGGAGATAGGATGAAGTCGATCGGGGTTTGCATGGTTTAGGTAACCGAAAGGCTCCATGTACCTTTATAGTAGATACTTAGGCCTTAAAGTACCTATATAGGGACCCCTTTAAGGCCTAAGTATCTACTATAAAGGTACATGGAGCCTTTGGGTAAGGGCTTCGGGTTTAGCGTTTAAGGTTTAGGGTTTAGGGTTTAGTGGGTGGCGCTTGCAGTGGCAGTCTCAGAAGTAAGATCAGAGGGCCGTAACATGCCTACTCTAGTCCCTTGTGGCAACTGTTGCTGTGAGGGAATCCTAAACCCTAAACCCTAAACCCTACCTAAGGTCCCATTAGCCCAAGAAAGCGCAGGCAGATGCTGGAACGACAAATTCGGGTATCTTGCCCCTGCATCCGCTGGTACATATTGGGGACTGAATAATTACCAATACTATCTTGGGGGTTCTTCATAATAACAATAGTATAGTATACCCCGAAACCCTATCTTAATTTCTAATTATTAAGGCCCCTGCATTACATGTGGGGCATGTAGGTTTTCGATTTGTTCGGCTTGTGGTGTGGTATATGTCGTGTGTATAGGTTGAGGCTAGACAAAGAACTCGCAGTGAATAACGTCAACAGCAAGGGGTCACGGGTGTCCCGAAGCTTCTACGTACCTAGTTTCGTGCACACCAGACCCCATCAACCCCTAGCCGTATGGGTGTGCTTCGCCCTTAGGGTCCATGTGCTCATATAGCATAAACCTGGGCCCCTAAGTATCTATATAGGGACCACATTAAGGCCAATGTATATACTATCAGAGGACCCTTGGGATCGCAGAAGACGGAACCTCAGCTTCAAAACACGACATCCTTAATCCTGGGATCGGTTTAGGGCTTTTAGGGTTTAGGGTTTAGGTTTTTTTGATTTTTAGGGTTTAGAGGGTTTAGAGGGTTTAGAGGGTTTAGGGTTTAGGTTTAGGGTTGGGGTTTAGGCCACAGTGCCTCAGGTGTGCCCTAAAACCTTTAACGGGTGCAGAAGAGAGAGCAGGCCAGGGGTGTGCCGCAAACCCGAAGCCTAAAGCACGTTTGATAGGGGTGCACAGAAAATAGTAGGGGATTTATAGTGCATGGAGTTTAGAGTACCGTGTCGAGGTGTACGTGCGTGCACTAAACCTGAATTGTACAGCCGTAAATACCTCGGAAGACAAGAACCATATAAACATGAGGAACTTAATTGCATTAGGGGTATCAGCTCCCGCATAGCGCGGGATGACAAAAAGCTTGATTGTGCGATCCCTTTAAACCCTTAACCCAAACCCTAAACCCGTAAACCCTAAACCCCAAACCCTAAACCCTTCTTCTTTGGTCATTCAGCAATTATCAAGCTTTACAGTCTTGCGTTAGCCTCAGAGCCGGCGCCAACAGCAGGAAATTCCACGTCTCAACGTTTCCCTTAAAGCATTGTCTACATTGATACACTATTATAATAGTCTACATCTATATATCTATTATTATAGTCTACATTTACAAGCAAGAGTTGTTATAACCCTATAGGGTTTGGTGCTTAGGCTTCATGGGTGTTCTTTGTGACGTTTGAAGGGCTTCTACATGTCCACATGAACGGCCCAACCTTCGATAGCAAAGCCTGAAGCGATGAACCTCCCACCGTCAAAAGCCAGAATCGTAACTTCCCAAGTTCTGAAGCCTAAATCGTAACACCCCAACAATTTAAAACTCTCCCCCTAGCCCCCAAGCTCGAAAAGCCGAAGCTCAACCTAACATGTGGGTAGTTGTCAAAATTATGGTCCCTTTTGGGGTACCCTAAACAGTAGGTGCCGTATTATAACATGGACCCCAAAAAGGGGCCATAATTTTGACAACCTGACATGTCTAGGCCTGGCTGAGATGAACTGAGGCCGAGAGCAGCCCGCTTTTTGCCCGGCCGTCGGCTCTTCCACACGAAGGAGTTCGGAGGAAGAAGTTTAGTAGAAGAAGGTTCTAAGCGCAATACATCCCTAAGCCCCAAGAACCCTAAAACCCTAAACCCTAAGAGCCCTTAACCCTAAACCCTAANNCCTAAACCCAAGCCTTAAACCCTAAGAACCAAAGTTCCCAAGCCCGAACCTGCAGTCGAAGCCCATACCAACACGAAAGCTTCAACCTTGAGATTCAGGGACCCCTAAGCCCTAAGCCATAAAATGTAGGGGCCTTACTCATTACCTATATATAGTTTAGGGTGTTCTTTTTTTTATAATACGCTTTTTGGACAATATACCCCAAAACCCTATTCT